TGAAAATTAATTAAAAAACTGTACTGTTTACTCCACCTCAACAGTAACCAGTCAAGTATCAGGCATAAAAAACAAATTCTATTCCTGTATTATTGGAAAGGGGTTTTTTTGTGTACTCTAATAACTTGATTTTATTAAATCTTCTTAAATTTACTGAACTCTTTAAAATCCTTAATTTGGGTTTCAAGCTCATCTCACCTAATTTGGTGTTATTTATCCCATTATTGTTTAGATGACAAATAATCTAGGTAATAATTAAATTGCTCTTTGAAGCTGAGGGGCACTGGGAAAGGGCGGGGGAGAGTGAGGAGAGGGTCAGGTCTTATTACGATCAAAATTCACTGTGTGAAATTCTCAAATCCATAAAATATTTTTTAAATTTCAAAATTTAAAAAACTGAAGGATAGCTTTAGCCTTTCTATATGTTCATTTTATTATTTTTTTACATTCTATTATCTTGAAAATATAATGTCTGTATTTAGGAATTAATCAAAATTGGTGAGCAAAATATTATCTCAAGAGGAAAATTTGCTGCATGTTATATAACATTTTTAGTCACTTTAGCAGCTACCATACAATAAAACAACTTTATAAATTGGTCATGTAGTTTTCCACTCATGAACATTGACCTTTGTACAATCAGTATTCCTTAATCAGCTAACAGTAGGAATTTTTAGGAGTATATATAGACCTGGCAAGAGACAAAGTAAAAGAAAGACCTGTGAACAACCAGAAAGGAGTAATGGGTCTATCCAGAAGTTTTGTCTTCCTCTTACTCCTGTACCTGCTTCAGGAATCAAACACTTCCTTTGTGAGGCTGAGTGACAATGGTTATGAAGATATCATCATTGCTATTGATCCTAGTGTGCCAGAAGATGAAACAATAATTAAACAAATACAGGTAAGGAAAAGCTGGAATTTCTTCTGTTTGAATTATGAAAAAGAAAAATGTTAAAAGTAAATAGTAACTGTGGAAATCTCCAAATGCTTCAGGAAGCTTAAAGGTAGAATGAATGAACAGGTGCTGGAATGGGTATGGAGAGACAAAGGCTATAAAAGTTTCTAGGTGAAGGTTCTAGAGGGTGCTAGAAGGGGCTCTACCTTCTAACTATAAACCAAAGACAAAGCATAGAGCCTCTCTAATCTTCAGCTTCCTTATGTATAAAGTAGAACGTGGACTCGTTTGTTCTTTTTTTTTTTTTTCTACTTTTTAAGTTTATTTACTGAGAGAGAGAGAGAGGGCGATGGGTGGGGGGAGATCCATGATGCATATGTGGGGGTCAGATGAGAACTTTAAGGAGCTAGTTCTTGCCTTCCACCCTGTTAAGGCAGGATCTCTTTTACTGTTTCTGCTACTCAGTGTACTCCAGGCTAACTGGCCCATGAGCTTCCAGTCAATTCTCCTGTCTCTGCCTCCCTTCTTCCAGTAAGAGTGCTAGGATTACAGATGCACACCATCACAACTAGCTTTCTGTGTGGGTTCCAGGGAATCAAACTCAAATTCAGGTCATCAGGCTTGTGCGGTGAGCACTTTTTCCCACTGAGCCATCTCCCCAGTCCCATTTGTTCTTTAAATAGTTTTTTTAAGATTTTTATGGCATGCTGGAGGAGAGAGCAATAAATTGAAATTAAAAACATGATAGAATATGTATCCTTTTCAGAGTCTTAACTAATAAAAAATGAATAAAATAAGCAGATCCAGTGACCATAGGTTGCTGTGGAGTATGTTAAGTCCAGAAAGAAAAGGGGTACAGAGTAGATGTGCCAGGAATAAGGGGATAGTATTAGCTACTGTTCCATGCAGGATAGTCAGGGAAGACCTCTCGTATGTGATATCTGAGTAGAGACTAAGATGAATTAGAGAAACTCAGAGACGAGCCCCATGGGGTGGTAGCAGCTAACCCAATCAAGGAAGCAACAATGAATAAGCAGGGGAAGGTGGGTTGAACTGAAGCTGGGAGATGTGCAGAGCCGGGACGACTAGAAAGACTGTTTTTGCTTCCGCTCTGAGTGACTTGAAACTCCATGGAAGAGTTCTTAACAAAGGGTATGTGCACCCCGGTATATGTTCTAAGACCACCATAACTACAGGAAACTGTGGAAGGTTTGCACATATCACACACCCGATATAAATACTACTGCAGCGTAGAAGAACAAAAGGTCCAGGCAGGAACCTGCAGCTAGTAAGTTGGATGGTGACTAGGACAGGGAGCTGGTGGTAGAGATCATTAAAGTGTGTGATTCTAAATGTATTTTTGACATTTTCTGCTGATTAAGATGTTGTAGGGGAGGGGAAGTTAGGAAGGTAATGCTAAGAGTCAAATTAAACTTTAAAACTTTGGCCTAAATACTGAGAAAGGCAGAATTATCCGCAACTGCAAAGGAAAAACTATAAATAGGGAAAATTTGAGAGCTAGGCGATATGGAGTTAGTTTAAGGTATTTTGAAATTACGACGCTTTTAGGCATCCAAATAGAGGAGATAGAAATCTGAAGTCACAGTGAAATTTGAAATGTGTATATAGATAAAAATGTAAGATCAGGGGCTGGAGAGATAGCTCAGCGGTTAAGAGCTGACTGCTCTTGCAGAGGACTCAGGTTCGATTCCAAGCACCCATATGATAACTAACAACCATCCATAACTCCAGTTCCAGGGGATTTGATGTTCTATTCTGATCTCTGCCAGTATTGCATGACACGGGTGCACTTATACACATGCAGGCAATATACTCATTCACATAAAATAAAAATAATAGATAAAATACTTTATAAAATGTGAGATCATCAGTGTATAGAGGATATGGCCCACCAGGTAGGAACAAACAAAGGGAGGGAAAGGCTCCAACACTAAACCTAGGACTCTGATTTTCGAAGTCTCTTCCAACTCTAACATGCTAATTAGTGTACAGATGGATATTATCGCTACACAAATCATTACCCATGTCCCTGGCATCAGTATCTATTCTGTTTTCAGTTCCTCCACTCTGGGGTTCTGAAGCACTGTTGAGTCCTCTACTGGGCATGAACTGAGGGGTGATCTAGTGATTCTGTAGCTATGACTTGTCATTCATTCTCTATAAACTCCATGGCAGCACAGAGGGTGTTTGCACACCAGTGTCTTTAGACCTCTAAAAGAAAAGATTACTTTTATTAAATAATATAAACATCAGATAGCATAGCTGGTTCTGAATGACAGATTCTTGGTCTTCAGAGATAGTTGGTCAGTTTCAAACTTTTTTGAATTCAGAAATTGGTATTTGATAGAATTATTTCTAGAGGCAAAAATAACCATTAACAGTGTTCTCTGTTGAACATTACAAATAGGAATACAACATGCTTTGTCAACATACTGACCTTTTGCAATGTTTCTTGACACTCAGCCCTTCACACCATTCTTACATTTATATCATCAAGCAACTTTGTGACATGTCATCTACTTTATACACAAAGATTTATGCCGACCTATATTATAATTCATGACCTGATATGCTCCATTTTCTACTTTCCTTTTTCCTTGTGTTCATGCTTCTTCTTGACTTGAAAGGAGTAACTCTTGTAAGCACTGGCATTTCATCTTCTTTGAACTAAGACCGGAATTCTGGAAGGAACTGAGAAGGAATATTATAGGATTTCTGGCTAGAAAAACTTCAGGAAGTATTATTGGGCACTGAGGGCATCCCAGGGAATTGCAATTACTTAAGAGGGTCTCTGAAATCTTTTCATGACCTCTGAGAATTTGTATCTAAGATGACCACTTGGACCATGGAGACTCCAGAGAAAATGCCATCCCATGGAGTTGTACAACACAACCTACACAACTGTACACAGCAGCCCTATTTGTTCAATCCATAACTGTTTGAATAATCAAAACACTTTAATCTCATATGTACAGAGAGTGATCACTTCCTGCAGAATATGACAACCTAAATATCCTGTTTTTTCAAAATAATGAAAGAGGCATCTTAAGAAAGAGAAATCTTTCATCTGTCTGCTGTCTGTGCTGAACCATCTCTAGCCTATTTTAAACTTCTTCAAAGCCCTTCTTCTCCCAGTCAGTCCACTGGGTCTGTGTTTCTCTGGACTCTGGCCTTTTGGCTAATCTCAAGATTATTCGCTCAGTTTGCTGACTTCATGTAACACACGTGAGTCAGAACACTGGACTTTTTTAAAGTGAACCAAGAAAAGAGCTGGAATTCCTGAGGAGCAGTTCTGTTATGGGCTTGTGTTAAACCAGTAGACATCACAGAGGAGTCTGTCTTGAAAGAAAGAATACTGTAGACCCAGATGCCTCCAGGGAGATAAAGATGTTGGCATCATCCAGGACCTCTCATTTAGGGGCCTGATCGTAAGGAACAGTCATCTTAAGTGCTTTTCACCTATTTCCCTTACTACACAGTAAGCTATGAGGGGGGACAAATTCTCTAATAAATCATTGTAGCATTGCTTTTATGATACTAAATGTAATTTGATATTTTCTGGTTGGTGGCAGAGTAATTCTATGGTCAAAATTTTACCTGTACTATGTAATTTTCTACTACCCACCCATCAAATGCCCAGCCCTCCTGCTGCTCCTAAGAGTGGGGAAAGAAAAACCCTTCCTGATAACAACTCCTACAGACTGTCCTTGCATCTGCTAAAGCTGTTTTCAGCTTAGATGTCTTCAAATCAGGAATCAAAGTACTTTCTAGTTCATTCCATCATATGCAACATTCCATCTTTAGGCACCCGTAACGCTGAGTAGTATAGCAATGCCCATTAAAGAGTAAGGTGACTGAGCTTCAGAGCATTATATAAATCAACCAGGAAGTGCTAACACAAACACTGGAACCAAATAAATTACTTGAAAGTCTAAGTACATATTCATGTAAAACAATTGTGTTATCACCAAGTATAAGCAGCGGCCTTTTGAGGTAAGAGGATAGGAAACTGAGAAGCCTTTCCTAGTTCAAGATGAAGCAACATTTTAGGATGACAGGGGTCAGGTTAGAACTGTGGTCAGAGATGCTGGTCATTCAGCAATTGCTTTTGTATTAACATTTAACACTGGGAAGTGCCTAAGATGAGTCTTGATCCACAGCACCACTCAGCCATCCTCACGTTTTCCTCTTTGATAACAGGAAATGGTGACTTCAGCATCTACCTACCTGTTTGAAGCCACAGAAAGAAGATTTTTTTTCAAAAATGTATCTATATTAATTCCCGAGAGTTGGACAAATAAGCTTCAATACAGGAGGCCAAGTCATGAGAGCTACAAGCATGTGAGTGTCAAAATCTTCTCTAACAAAACATAATATTTTCTGGATTTGCTACAAATTGATTGCTTCAGAGTCTTTCTAACTATTGCCATTTCTGTTCTTAATGTTTTGATGGTCTTTTATAATATTCTAGGCAGATGTTATCGTTGCACCACCTGCCATCCCAGGCAGAGATGAACCGTACACTAGGCAGTTCACAGAGTGTGAAGAGAAAGGAGAATACATTCATTTCACTCCTGACTTTGTACTGGGAAGAAAAGAAAATGAATATGGACATTCAGGTAGGAAAGTTGGTTAAAGCAAGTCTATGCCCAAGTTAAATGAGGAAGCTTTGGAGCAGAAGCCCTTAGGTCCAAATCTTACTGCCTCTGTTAGCTGTGTGCTTATTCCTAGTAAATGGTAAACAGAGGAGTTTCATCTTATAGAACCTCTGTGACGATTGAGCTAGGCAACTAGCTAGTGTACTATCTATAATATTTTTAGAATTTTAACAAAAAAGCATAAATATAAAAGTTTTCCTAAAACATACTTAAGCCAAGATTTTAACTTTCCAATTCTCCATAACTGGATATTAATCAGCTGCATGTCACTTTTGTGGAAACAAGATGTGTAGCAAACTAGAAAAGGTCACAATGCCAGGTGCTGATCGAGGAAACACAATCACAGGTTGTTAGCTGCTGATACTATAATTTGAACTCTCTGGTTGTATAAGATGAAATTGTCTATAATGGATCATTTATACCAATTTAAACTGGTACTTTAATTTAGTTCAATTTAAGTGTTAAGAAAATTTGTCCAAATGAACTAGAGTATATTATTTTATAGACAAAATGCAAATTTTAAAGGGTGGGACAATTCATACGTTGTTAATCAATGAAAACAAAGAATCCCCATGTCTCAGAATCATCTCCCTTCTCCTTCTCTCTGCTAACTGAGCCTTCCTTAAGTCTCTGGCCCCGACAATATCTGATCAGCCATAGTCAGCACTACATGACCAGCTCCCACTCTACTCCTTCAAACTCCATCACCCCTTCCCATCCCAACCTTACCTGCCCATATATGCGATTATACTGATCAGATTCATTCTCTGTGGACCCTGCTAATCCTTCGCACACTCCTAACAGCACTGTCTATCAAGCATGTCCAACAAACTCAGTAACTTCAACAAGTACTAATAGTTAGATTCCTACCTTGCTTATCTTTGGCTTTCATCCAAGTTACTCCAATAATTTCAGTACTGGAGTGATCTAGTTTCTCTTTTGATGTCACAAAAATTACAGCACATTTGGCATTGCAGCAAATTCACATTTTCCAAGTTCAGCCATGTGCTTGTGTTTGGCTCCTGTCCGCACCCTTTCTCATTTCCTGAAGCAGCCTAAAAAGTAACTTCTACCATTTTCAAGCTCTCAGCTGTTATTCTCACTCCCATCAATTGACACAGGAGGCTTGACTGAGCAAACAGAAACCCTTACCCTCTTCCTGTCTAGATTCAAACATGCCACCTACTCTACCTCCAGTTCTCATAGAAAAGCCCAGCTTCTCCAATGTCCCTATTTTAAAGCCAATACCCCCATCTGAAGGCCCTTGGTTTTTCCCTGTATCTCATACCTTAGCCCTGTTCCATTACTGGCAGCCCCCACCCTTTTTCTCAGGCAGGTTTTTATTCCACTAGGTAATGCACATTTTGTGGGAAAAAGTCACATTCTGTAAATCATGTCCTGAAAACAATAAAACTCTCAAAGAAAATTAGATGAGAAAGAGAACCCTCAAGATTGATGTGGTTTTATAATAATAATAATAACAACAAAGAAAGTAGACCAAAAAGATCCTTTGGACCACCCCGGCAGCAACTCAGTATATATTAAAAATATATTAAAGTCTAAAGTCTAAATTCAGACTACATTAAAAGTGCACTAAGAGTAAAATGCCATTTGAATGAGAACAAAGCAGCCTAAATGAGACAACAATCTGATGTGGTGGAATTCTAAGTCACGGGGCTGCTTTAAAATTGGGCATGGAAGGTAGAACAACATGGGAAGGAAACAAGTCTGAGTGGTCCTAACAAGACAGCCACAGGTACAGGTGGTTTAAAATTTCTTAAAATTCACCAAATTCCTGTTGTACTAGCTGATATGAAGGTTTTTCCTTTCTATACAGAAATTTGTAAATCTATTCTCACTTACATAACTCTACCTAGAAAATCTTAAACCAACAATTTTAATTTTAACATGTACAGGAATAACTTAAGGGTCTCGCTAAAATCTGATCCTACTGGTCTCTGATCCAGCATGCTTAGGTGGGCCTGAGACCATACTTCTAACAGGCTCCCAGGAGAGGTGGATGTTGTTCATCAGGGACCACATGACTTCTTTCTAATTCTGCTGTTTCCTCTCTGTTTTCAGATCTCATATGAGACCATTTGAGCTACTGAAACCTATGCTGTAGCAGAGAAGTCTTTGTTTCTGGTCTCTTCTTGTTCATCGATGTGTCCTCTGAAGCCTTTCCTAACAGTACTAAGAAAAAACAAAGTTCTGCTTTTCTCCTTTCTACATCTCAAGTTTAGATTCACTTGTATTCGTGAATTCGGCCTGGAATCCCTATGAAACTGTCTTATTCTAACTTCTTCCTATAGCTTTTCTAACTCAAAGATGCATCTCACATGTTTTTATAATGTTCAGTACCTAGTATTGCACTTAACATAAAATTAAGATTAATACTTGTTTCATATAATCTTTGCTTATTATGTGCCAGATAGAATCACTTCATTTTTACATCCCCCTAAATTCTATAGTAGTATTTAATAGTCTATAATAGTATTTTCTACCTTTATTTTCATTATCAAACCCCAGAAGTATTTTTAGACATTTTTCCCTAAAATTGCATCCCTAAGTTATCTATACACCAGAATTTCCATACATCTGATTGAACTGTTGACAGTATCATGCTTGAAAAGTCATAAGCCACTGTAATATGTTGGGCCTTTCCTCTCCAAAAATGGAAACCCAAATCATAGCCTACTTTGATTGTAGTATACACTCCATGAATGTTTCATTGATTTAACATGCCGAAAATAAAGATAATATACTACAGAGTAATTTAATGCCACTTAAGTACAAGAAGTCCTTCTTATGAACAAAAATATAAATCTTAGGAGCTATGGAAAATTAAATATACTTTAAGGAAGGTCTCGAAATTTTTTAAAAATTAGTGCATTTGTGTGTGTGTGCGTGTGAGTGTGCATCTGTGTGTGACTGTGTCTGTGTCTGTGTGTCTTTGTGCGCAGCATGCCAGTCTGTGTGTGGAGGTCAAAAGACAACTTTTGGGAGTCAATTCTCTCCTTTCATCATGAGGCTTTTAGGGATCCAACTCTGGTCATCAGGTTCAGTGGCAAGCGCCTTTACCTTCTCAGCCATCTTGCCAGCCCAGTTCTTGAAATATAAAATTTAGTACTTGAATTATGATTATGTATTTGAAAATGTCTTCCCATAGGTAGACTGTTCGTCCATGAATGGGCCCACCTCCGCTGGGGAGTATTTGATGAGTACAATGAAGACCAGCCTTTCTATGCAGCTTCGTCAAAGAAAATTGAAGCAACAAGGCATGACTACCTAAGTGATTTTAGATGACTCAAGCTTTTAAATGGCTTATTGTTCCTTAGACTTCTTCCAAATGCCAAGTACTCATTTTTGTCCCAATGCAGACAATTGATGGTACATCACAAACTTGCTTCATGTTTATTTTAGAAAAAAAATGTTTTTAGTTTTTTTGAAACAGGGTCTCCCTGTGGCCCCAGCTGGCCTGGAACTCATATGCAGATCAGATTGGCTTTGATCTCACAGAGATCTGCCTGCCTCTGCCTCCTATGTTCTGGGATTAAAGGTGTGCACCACCATGCCAGGCTGAAAATTTTTTGAAGATGATTGTCTACATAAAATATACATAGCAGCTTCAAAGCCAAGCATTTGGTTGGCAATTTGACATATTTTACACTTCTCTGCCTTGGGTGTCAGAGGTTGGGTGAAAAAAGATGAAAGGGGCTAACTACTGCTAAATGGAGGCTGAGGAAGAAATCAAGCAGCTTCAAGGAGCCAACTCAGAACTTCTTTGAGATTTCTAAAAAATATTTTATTTATTATTTTTATTTTATGTGTATGAGTATATCATCTGCATGTATGTTGTTCAATACCTGAGGAGACCAGAAGAGGGTGTCAGATCCCTCGGAACTGGAGTTAAGGATGGTTATTAGCCACCATATGGGTGCTGGGAACCGAATCCAGGTCTTCTGCAAGAGCAGCCAGTGCTCTTAACTGCTGAGCCATCTCTCCAGTCCCTTCTTTGAGATTTACAAAGGTCATTTAAAAATATCAGCCTAGCATCACAAGTTGATAACAAACCATAGTTTGGTTCTGAGATTAAGAGATCAGCATGTTTGGGAAAATTTCATTTTAAACTAGGTGTCAGTAACCTCATCAGTGCCACACATCCTGCTGGTCTAGGAACTTGTCACAAATAGAGAGGTAAGCTGAAAGATGTGTGACTGTAACAAAGGCCCTCCCTCTCCCCTGCTGCCTAGTTTTTAATAGTATTGAATAGATTACATTTTTATGCTATACTTCTGCAAAATGTCCAGTTTCTGCTTCAGAATATTTATGACTGTTTATGTAGATTGCATTATTATGGTCATCAAGTTTTGGAACAATAGAAGCATAGATATATTTACAGGTCTCCCTAAATGACTGAATGAGATCTAGTCTTCACTTCTGAATTTGAACTGGAAGCCAGTGAGATCGAGATGTGGCCACACACTCATGTATCTGTTCGGATCTCTACCGCATAGGGCCCATTCCATACAGTAACACACAAAATGTCTCTATCGGTCTTTATTCTTTTGTCCTTCTTAACAGCATCTCACTCTTTGATTCCAGTCACATTTCCCTTTGGATAAAAAAAGTGCTCCTTGAATAATCAAAGCACCTGTAGTTATGTCATATCCTGTTCTTTAGAGGATGTCTTCTTGGAAAAGAAGTCTACAGAGAACATCAAGCTCCCTAGAATAAATGGTTTACAAGTTCCCTTAAGTGCCTGCAGTATAGTTAGTACTGCAGGGCCAGCAGGAAAGATGTTGAAGGAAGAGAACAGCAGCTTTAATCTCAGCTGAGAAATCAGTCGTTGTGCCTATCTGGAGGTCCCACTTAAGTTTTTCCATTACAGTTTCTTGAAATATAGTAATTACTTTGATTGGAACTCTTGGCTTTTGTTATTAGCACAGGAAATACATGCTACACGAACAAGATCTTTTGTCATGACACAAAGATCAGCATAAACAAAACTACTTAAGACTTTTTAAAAATTATTTATTTAATAACCGTATAATTAGAAGAGGCAGTTCATTACAACAGCATTGACATATTCAATAACAATTTCCAGAGCTGAGATGCATCTCTTTCAAAATTGGCTGTAAATCTTTAGGTTTACAGTTGAATTAATACAGTTATACAATATTGTACTCAGTATAAACCCTATAAGACATAACATTAAATGAGGTTTTAACCTTATGGATCCTTAGTACCTGAGTATGGATATAAAGTCATCAGGTAGATTTCAGTGGTAATGTTTATCACCTCTACTAATTAACATGAAATAAATTTTTATGTTTCTTCCTCAAATATAAGTTTTTATTTGTGGATTTTTTTGTGTATATCATACAGAACATCCCACACAATCTTATTCATGTATATAGCCACTTCTCAAATGGCACCCTCCCATAGCCACCCTCCTCCTCACTGGAGCCCATACACTCTGTCATCCCTGTTACTGTCCACTGTGTTGTCGGAGCCCCCAGCTAATCCCCAGTGCTTGTCCATCCGCTTAATCTGGTCAGTCTATACAGAATTCCTTGTTTTAGGAAGATCAGCTGTTCCTCATCTGGCAGCAATCAGTTGCCAACATTCCTTTAGATAAGATTGGGGTCTGCTGTTCATTTTTTCCAGTTCTATGCTGGGTTACTGTCTGGGAGTCTTTTGGGCTACCCTGGCCAATAACTCAAAGGAAGGTATCATCTGTCTGGCATTGTTGCCTGTTATATAGCCTTTTGCTATACATATGGACTCTTATGAAATTATATTGGCCCCTTTAATCTTTGGTTATACTTTCCTTTGGTGTGTTTAAGGCCATACAGTTGGTCCAGATAAACCAATTTATTTTTTCTCTTAAGGTTGTTTGAGGATCTGTTCCTCAGGGGTCACATGAGTTAGGGAGGAGCCCCTGGCTTCTTTCTTTTACCAGTTCCACCTATATGAAGATAAGTCAAAGGTCCTGCTCGACCATGGTTGGCTTCGCTTGGAAGCACAGAGGACATGATTCCTCTGTGTTGACTCTCCTTTTTATAGACCGGACATTGGTTCAAGTCCATCTGGTGGGGTCTCCTTGACCTCCTTGATCAAGAGAACAGGTGACCCATCACCGTTACAGAACATTGTAAGAGGTGCTCATAGTCCCCTGGAACTAGTCGACCTAGGAGGGCAAGGAGCAAAAAGTGTCCTTTATGTCCCTCTGACCGAATTATAGACCTCAAAGTATGCCTGTTAAACACCCAAGAAGGTTAGGACTTTTAAAAATTGTTAATGACTAAGTTGTGTCAAAGACTAACTGTCATATATTTTCAGGTGTTCCACGGGAATCTCTGGTATAAATAGAGTTCGCACATGCCAAGGAGGCAGTTGTACAACTAGAAATTGCAGAACTAATTCCACCACAAAATTGTATGAGAAAAATTGTCAGTTCTTCCCTGACAAAATTCAATCAGAAAAGGCATCCATAATGTTTATGCAAAGTATTGATTCTGTAAGTATGCCAGTAATCAGGTCCAGAATTTATAATCAAAGCATTTTTCTTATTTTATTCATTTAAAACTTGTTGTTGCTGCTGCTGCTGTTGTATTGAACCAAGGGCAATACACATGCTAGTCAAGCCTTCTATCAACTGAGATACATCCCCAGCCCTGACGTACATGATCTTAAAATACCTTCCAAGTGACATAAGAATTAAATATGTTAATACATAGTTCTTTAAACATTGGCTAACACACAGTAAGTACTCATCTAGTGTAATTTATTATTGTTGCTGTTTATTAATAACTAGACCACTAATGTTAACTACCATTATAATGATAAATCTACCTTCTATAGTATTGGTTTTCATTCATTATATTTCACTTGATCAACAAATATTTGCTGAACATCTTTTTAATCTGTTTCAGATTAAACGTTTTAAATGGATGGTATAGTATTTTTTTTCACTTTATCAATCTTTTAGGTCACTGAATTCTGTAATGAAAATAACCATAACCGAGAAGCTCCAAGTATACACAACATGAAGTGCAATTACAGAAGCACATGGGAAGTAATCAGAATGTCTGAGGATTTTAGAAACAGCACACCGATGGAGACACCACCCTCTCCACCTGTCTTCTCATTGCTGAGAGTCAGCGAAAGGTTTCTGTGCTTAGTTCTTGATATATCTGGAAGCATGGCTGTAAGTTCATGGGCTCATTTTTTTCTAAATATAGAAATAGGAGTAATGAATGCTGTGACCACACTAAACTCTACTTGTATTTGGATTGTTCTGGATTAATGATGTCATAAATTATCATCACTTCCTGAGATCATTACCTGAAGACACTGCTGTGTGTGTGTGTGTGTGCGTGCGTGCGTGTGTGTGTGTGTGTGAAAGAATGATGTGTTAAATTTAGAACAACTAATCTAGAGGAGTTATTTTGTTCTAGAAAATGCACACTTGAATGAGAACATTGATACCCTTTAATGAGAACAAGAGACTAGACTGAAATTGTCTTTAACCATGGCCCTTCCACATAAAATGCTTGAGAGAACTGAGAGTGGAGTGGATTAATGGATACTAAGCTCCCTTCTAGGTCAAGGAACAGGACAAATGAGCAGAATTTCTAACATGACACTATCTTATTTCTCAACTGTTCAAGTGGCCTCTTCAGACACAAGCAGAAAAGCATCACCATAAAGAACACATAGCTAGATACAGTCATTCCTTCCTTCTATTATCACACAGTGAACAGCAGGCATGGTGTTAGACTCTGAGAACAGGGATGCATGTCCTTGAGATATTTATAGTTCATTCAGGCTGAGCATGGTGATATGTGCCTGTAATCCTAGCAATCAGGAGGCTAAGGCAGGAGGATTGCAATCCCAGGAGTGATTATGAAACGCACTAAGATGTGAATCACTACCCCCAGTTTCAACCCAATTTCCAACTTTAATTTAGATAGTTAGCAACTGGGAATCATCTGTAGCTGAAAAGTATAAGCTCCTTAATATGTGTTCCATATTATACGTAGCCATATTTTTTTAATTTACCAATTGAAAAAAGCATAATTTCTTTCTTCAACAGTATAGATTAATAATCATAAAGTTCTTATCAGTAAATTTCGTGAACTCATCTTATGAGGTCTGCCCTCATCATCCAGTTGAAAACCGCTCTGTTGTCTCACCCTTTTCATTCAGAGTGCTGACCGCCTCAATCGAATGAATCAAGCAGCAAAATACTTTCTGCTGCAGATAATTGAAGATGGATCTTGGGTAGGGATGGTACACTTTAATAATGTTGCCTATAATAAAAGTGAGCTAATCCAAATAAAAAGCAACACAGAAAGAAACAAGCTTTTGGAAAGCTTACCGACCATAGCGTCTGGAGGAACTTCTATCTGCTCTGGAATTCGGTCTGCATTTAAGGTGAAAATCACACTGCAAATGTATTTTGTCATTGTTTTGTCTTTAGGACATTTTAATGTGAAGTGCTGATGTATACACTTGCCTCCCCATTTTGATATAATTAATCCTAAAAGGCCAAGGACAAGGTACATAGAAAAAAATTGGCATGTGTAATCATATCACTTGGTAGGTGGAGGCTCAAGGATCAGAAGTTCAAGACCATCTTTAGCTAGACAGCAAGTTTAAGGCCAGCCTGGGATACATGAGATCCTGTCTCAAACAAACACAAATAAATAATAAATAAAACAACCATTAACTTCAACACGATTAGAACTTCAGCTACCTTTTATTTATAAGTCTAGGAGGATTTCCTAATTTGGAATTCATTAGCTTTTAATGCTGATGTGGATTCTTAATGAACCTGGATGCATGTACAACTAACTTTATACACTGCAGTCTTATCAGATAGCAGAAGAAAATCTATGCCATATTTTGCATATCAGTTCACCTGAGTGTACTAGGCTCAGCTGTCACTGTAATTTAGTCTACATGAAATTCTTTTCCTAAGCCCTGAACCCACTTACCTTTCATTCAAGGAAATCTTCCCTGCAATCATGGGACAGAAAAAATTACATTTATGTTCCCCAGAAATTATTGATTATAGACTCCATGATTTTAAAATATAAATGATCTCTTCTATTCTTTACTTTTTATGAATTCTTTCTAATTTCTCATCAGGATATTTGATCTACTATGATAATGGTGCTCTAAATTATGTTTTCAGGTGTTTAAAAATCGAAATTCCCAAATAGATGGGTCTGAAATTGTGTTGCTGACTGATGGGGAGGACAACACTGTGAGTAGTTGTATTGATGAGGTGAGAGACAGCGGGACCATCGTTCACTTCATTGCCCTGGGACCATCTGCTGACAAAGCTGTAGATCAAATGGTCACTATAACAGGTAAAGCATGATTTCTCTATGCCAGCCCTTTAATTGTAGGATATAAACATGGAATTGACACTCAACCACTTCTCTCTCTTGAGCTCCTGCTCTGCATGTCAGGAGCTGGAGAGCAGAGTTAAACCAGACCCAACCTCTGTCCTCACAGCATTCAGAGTCCAGTTGACTGGAGAGACAAAACTGCTAATCAAATCCTAGATAACGCTCCTTCCTAACAGGAGGAGTGGAGAATAAAGTTCGCATGAGAAGGGGAAGCCCGGGTGGAACAGAGGAAGGGTAAAGAGGGCATGAGAGACCAAGTGACTCTGAAGCTGGGCCTTAAAGTCAGGCTTTTTTTCTAGGAAAAAAAGAGGGTGAGAAAAAAACAAAGATTTGAGATAAACATTAACTAAAGTGGCTGTTACTTTAATATACAGAGGTGATGAAAAATGGATTATATGTTTCTAGTACCTTCTTAAACAGTAATGAATACATAACATGAGTACCGATTATTATACCAATTTTGCTTCCATGATACCAAATATATATTTGCTTTTTTATGGCTGGTTATATAAACTGCTATCATTTCAAAACACTTTTATGACCATTTGTAATTTTACTTCTGTTCCGTATTCTACCAGCAGTAGTACCTTCTTGAATTTTCCCCCTCTATTTACAGTTCTTTCTCCTCAGCTCTAGTTATTGTCAGGACACCTCAGTATAGCAGCTCTTTCATCTTTTTTAATGTTCTATTTCTGATGTATTTTGTCTGGACTGTGTAAAATCTGTGAACTTAAATGTGTGTAATTGTAATATCTTTCATGGTATATGACTATTTGATATATCTCATCAAGCTGAGATTTCCATATTGAAGTGGTGTTTACTCCATAGTTATGATGTTTTAAATTAGCATTCCAGAATTAATCTTTCAGCTATCTGACTGTGGTCTACTTTAACTATACATATGAAATTTGATTTTATTTAAACTGTTACCTTTTTAATCATTAAAATGTGATAAGTACTCATGTTATACAAAACAACATAGCTTATTCATTCACATTTTAGGAGGAATATATCATTTTGCTTCAGATGAAGCCCAGAACAATGGCCTCGTTGATGCTTTTGGGGCTCTTGTTTCAGAAAATGCTGATATCTCCCAGAAGTCACTTCAGGTCAGATTTTCCATTCCTGGGGGTTTTGTGCTTCCTTTCAGTATAACCATGGAAAAGAATTTGGTATTTTTAAGTTCTGTACTTTTCTAAAAAGTCATGTCCTTTAATTAAAATCGAAACTTTAAACTGAAATAAAAATTATTCTTTATGTATAACTAAATTAAGTGGTAAAATAAGAATAAAACAAGTGTTAAAGTAAAAGGCAATTTTTTTCATATTTTCATAAAGTTTGATTAAGGGTATTAAGCCCTAGTAATATAAGATTCTCCTCCAAAACCAGAATGTGTCCAAAGTAAAGTATCCATTTTTCTAGAATGCATTTTTAAAAATTTCATGCTTCCAAGCTTTCTTCACCCTGAACTACTGTGAAAAAGACTGCTGGTCTACCTATCTGCCTCTTTATCATATGTGCAACATGTCTAGACACATAAACTCAAGTATCAGTTTTAGAAATGCAAGGATGGAGCTTGGAAACAAAGACAAGCAAATGATTACTGTAGATCTGTAAGCTCAGGTCTCCTCTCACCCCCTAACTACTTTTTCATTGACTTTATTTTATTCACAACTCCTCTGAACTCAACTCTTTTTCTCATCCGTGTCTCAACAGCACCGCCATTTTGTTACTTGGATTCAAAAATTCTAAATAAGCTGTCTCTTTAATTCATGTCCCATCTATAATAATACAGACCATTTCCATCAAGATACATTATGTAAAAATCTGTTTCTCTTCTTTTTATTCCTACAAGTCTATGTCATGTGCCTTTCTGCCAAGACTTCTGTTTTCTGTTTTCCGATTCATCAAGCCACCACCTACATTAAAATTGTCCAGGACCACCTAAGCAAGCCTATCTCCTATAGCTTCCCAACAAGAACAAGACTGACTTGTGGTTATATACAGATGACCTTAGAGCTCTGGTTTCTAAATAATTCATCTAGTCTGCTAGTGCATACCAAATTAAAGGGGAATTAACAGTGTTTCTGATGTTTTCTACCTTGCTGATGAAGACTGATGGTATTACAATTAAAAATTGATAAGGAGAGAGAACAGATTTTGAAGGTATTGTTTTGTACTATGCTTTACCTTTGGTAATTTTGAATGGATGGGAGGAACTCCAAATGGAAAACTCCAAAAACATTTAAAAGTTTAAGAAGAGAATACAGGAAATCAGCAAGAAAGGAGACGTTTATGTATGAGTGGTGCTCAAATCTTCAGAGTGGGCTTTTTAAAAATGTGTGAAAGTGAAGGAACAAAGTTTCATTTCCTTCACTTGAGATGTCTATGGTAGGTTCTTAAACAGAGAAATAACAAAAAGAAAGCAAAATTTTTCATAGCTAATATGGATTCGTATACATGATGAGTAGAAGATGGGAGAAATGGTGACTGGAAGCATTGTTCAACCATGAAGAACATGATAACCTGGACTTGAGGGCGACAGCTGGAATATGAAGGAAAGGCTGCGCTCTACATGTTGTTTTCTTAGGCTTTCCTGATGGAGAGATAAAACAAGAGGGGGTTGGGTCAGATGTGGTAGAGCACACCTTTAATCCCAGCACTTGGGAGGCAGAGGCAGGGAGGATCTCTGTAAGTTTGAGGTCAGCCTGGTCTACATAGTGATTTCCAGGCCAGTCAGGGGGACATAGTGAGATCCTGCCTCAAAAAAATGGGGTGAGTCACATTCAAATTTAGCGCATATCCATTTAAAGACACACTGGCTTAACCTAGGACTAAGATTTTGGGTGTAACATGCTTCCTCAAAGTAGAAGTATCTTGCTTCTATCAGCATAGGCTAAAGTGGCCTGGGGTTGAGAACTGGGTTTAAGTTGAAATGGAATTTCCTATTGTTCCTAAAATGGCACTCCTAAAAGCACTCATTTGAGCAGATAAAGGTGGATATCTTGGGACTTCATGCTAGGTGAACTAAACCAAGTACAGAAAGCCAAGTGTGCATGATCTCATTTACATATAGAATCCAAAATGGTTGAGAGTAAGGAACAGAATGATAGTTACCAGAAGCTAGTGCTATGTAAGTGTTTGAGAGATGACAGGAAATGGACACAAACTTTCAGTTAGATAAGAGAAACAAGTTCAGGAGATATATTATATAACACAGTAACTATAATTAATAACATGCATTATATTCCTGAAAATAGCTAAGAGAATCAGCTTAAGTGTTCTCACTTCAAAATCAAAAGATGATTATGTGAAGTAATGCTCACATTAATTAACTTAGCACTTCCATAATATGTACACATTTCAAGACATCATGTTGTACATGACGAACATACACCATTTCTGTCTTTGAAGAATAATTTAAAATGCTGGCTCTTCTACACTAAGAGCTCTCAGCAAAGATGAAGCACTTTGTCACAGCTCCTCTCAAAGAAGACCCTCTTCTGCTTTCTTCTCAGGATCCCACCCCACATGTACCAACCTTCCCTCTCTTGAATACATTTACTGTCCCATGTTTTGCCACCTATCTTGTGTGGGAGACTGTTTAATGATGCCTCATTAGCAAACTATTCAAAGTGCTTGTCCTCAAGTGTCTTTTTGGGTAGTACTGAGGATTGAATCTAGGTCCTCTCAATAGAATTGGGATCTTTTCTGAAAACTTATGGGTGACAATTGTGTTATTAAGTCTGGAAATATAATTTTAAAATTAGAGTGGAAACATCAATTTTAAAGTTGAAACTGTGACCCTATTATATTTTCCCAGTTTTCTGGGAGAATACACATACATGCTAGGCAAGCATTCTTCCACAGAGCTATATCCAACTGCTTACCTGTCTAAAGCATCTGCCTCTACTCAAATACTCTGGTTACCCCAAGAATTATTTTTTGGGTCATCAGCAAGACTTAAAGTCAGCGTAACACATACTCACACCACACTAATCCGCTGGGATTTTAGCATCATTTCATGCTAAAGATCAGGATGGGTATTTGCACAGAAAACTGGGAAAACATAATAGGGTCACAGTCTCAACTTTAAAAGTGATGTTTCCACTTTAATTTTTTTATTATACTCTGCCTTTCCTTCAGACCCTAGATTTCCAGACTTAATGACACAACTTTCACAATCCCAGTATGCTTTCATAAAAGACCACAATTCTATAGAGGTATAGACAGGATTGCTGTGAGTTGGAGGCCACTCTGAAGTACATAGTGAGTACCAGGCCAATCAAGGCTATATAGTGAGACACTGTGGTACATGTACTTAATTCCAGCACTTGGGGGACAGAGGCAGGTCTCAAAACAAAACAAAATGACAATAAAAAGATGACAAAGTCTATGGTGGTACAGCATATATAAGACTGTTTCTGACCAAATATTAAGATAATCTTTAAAAGACAAAAAGAATAAAATTATTTTCTTTGGGAGTGATTAATTTTTAAAATATGTTTAAACAGCTTGAAAGTAAGGGATTCACACAGATTCAGAGTAACGACTGGATAAATGACACTGTAGTAATTGACAGCACAGTGGGAAAGGACACATTCTTTCTCATCACATGGAAGCAACAGGCTCCTGATATTTCTCTGTGGGACCCCAAAGGAACACAAGTCACAAATTTCATGGTGGACACAGCTTCCAAAATGGCCTATATCAGTATTCCAGGGACTGCTCAGGTAAGTAGTTGGCTTTTTGGAAAAAAAAATCTCTTCAAAGATGATCTAATATCATAAATGTCAATGCCAATAATTTTACTATCTTTAAAATTAAGAAAAAATGTTATGTATTTTCCTGGCCTTCATGATCCTGAAAATTGTGATGGCAGAGTAAAGGTTAAAAGAGCTTACAGATCAGAGGAAAAGAAGAAAAGGAACTCTGAGGACTTTAAGGATGAATTATGAAAAGTCCATGTAACTTTGTGTGCAGAGTCCTTTCTAAGTGTTGCTATCAAAGTCATAGACTCTGTGATGCTGGCTAACAAAGCCAAAACCAAAGCAGACTTGCCAAAACAATCTTACAGGTGAGAAGTCACAAAGTATAGATACCATGTATAACACTAGATAGAGTACCCTGCCTGAACTGTCTCAGTTCACATCCTTTTAAAAACCACCAAACTCTCCAAACTCCATTTGCTCTATTCTGTACTTCTATGATTTACTTTTAAATTGCATAATGGAAAAATGTTGTAATTTGACTCTGAATTCTTGTTGTATATTTCCACTGAAAATTTTAGGACGGCATTTGGACTTACAATCTTAAAGCCAAAGCAAACCAAGAAATATTAACAATTACAGTAACCTCTCGGGCAGCAAATTCTTCTGTACCCCCAATCACAGTAAATGCTAAAATGAACAAGGACACAAGCAGCTACCCCAGCCCAATGATTGTCTATGCAGAAGTTCTACAAGGGTATGTTCCCATCATTGGAGCCAATGTGACTGCTCTCATAGAATCAAACAGTGGAAATATAGAAGTTTTGGATCTTCTGGATAACGGTGCAGGTAATTCACAAACTTTTATAAATAACCCTATAATTTTTATTGTGAGCGCGAGCATTTAATAGCTGTGCCAGCACTCTGGCCCAAGCCTGTATGTCTATAACTCCTGGGTTTCTGGGGTAGTGGGGTTCAACAAGATGGGACCTAAAGAATGAAGACAGAATATGGAGGAATACCAGGACCAGCAGAGAATTCAGTCAGGTAAACCCTACAACATGCTTAGCAAGTGGTTTACACATCACATGTTAAGCATTCAAAAAAATATCATTTACTGCCAAAATGACTGTTTTAAATCTAGATGGGCAATGCTTGTCAGCAGTTACAAAGGTTTCATTCAGAAATTTGATAACATAACCAAGAATTCTGGGCACACACTTCTTAGGGGAGCATCACCAGGAAATTGTGGCCAGCAGAGGTAGAGCACAAATAGGTGGCAGAACTTGGGGCCCTGGCAGGGAAAGGGAGAGAAGCAAGAGTAAGTCCCAATGGCTATAACAAAACACAAATAGAATCCCAGGAGCTGGGGCCCAGGCATCTTGGGGTGCCACAGAGAGGAGGGCTCACCTCTGCAGTATCAGATACCAGGTGCGACTGACAGAAAACTACGAACTAGACTGGCTGCTCCTCTGTCTCCCTGATCTGTAGAGTGAGAGGTACATTAAAAAACCCTTTTGCTACATTCTGTGTTGTCCTACAAAACCTTGTGTTGAGGTCATCGAACAGCAAAGAACCTATTTGGTACACATTTGAATTATTAGAGATTTTTATCAATACCATTTGCAATGCATTTGCAATCCATTGATCTTGGCTCCAACTGCAGCTGACTAATTGTTCTTGGGAACACTTCAATGTTTTCTTTAAGTTCAACAGTATTTCCACATCTATCTCACATCTCTTCCCAATTCCCACAAATCCATCTAACACTGCATAAAACTTCGTGTATCTTGCTTCATTTCTTGGCATTTTACCAGATGAGCATTTAGTTAAGCTAATTTGAAATGCCTTTACTAAAAGAAGATATTGGTAACAATGGCTTAGGCAGGCATCCTCACACTTTTGTATACAAAGGAACCATCTGGAGAGCTTGTTAAAATAAGAGTGCTGAGATACTTACCCAGACAATCTGGGAAATTTGCATGTCTAAAAATCCCCAGATTTTTATAGGGATAGATACTGATGACACAGGACCTTTACTTTCTTATCTGCTGAGTAGAATAGGAATTTTTTTTTTGAAATTCAGCATATGACTTAAATGTTCAAAATATTAAGAAGTGAATTTATAATCAGAATTTATTTCTGAACTCCCCCAAACATGTGTTCCAATAGAAAAATTGGGCTTCCCTTTGTCAGACTACAGAAGCCAAAACAAGAGACAAAAGTCATTGAAGATAAAGAAAAATAAGTAATTTTAGTTGCCTATTGTGATAATTAAATCCTACATAAAGATACATTTACTTTAGTGGGGACCCTTCTTATGTAAAGAGAGGTATAACATGATTAATATGATTAATTGGGTAAGATAAAAGTCAACCAATTGGCAGAGAAATGGTAAGAAGAGTCCTATGATCTCTACATAAATTGGTAGAGGACAGAAAGAAAGGTGTTTAAGTAGTTATTATACATGTGCAATTACCAATGTACATAAATATGTTCTATAAATTTAAATGTATACATTTCCAAAATAAGTCAAGGCACCAATTCAATAATGTATAAAATATACATTATTATATATTTCGTATTATATATTTTATATTGTACAGAGTGTAATGGAAATGTATTCCAGTGAAATGCAAAATACCAAGCACAACATAGAGAATACACTGATAGAAGCCAATGCTTATGTTATAAAATGCACCAATTTCTCATTTATTACATTATCATTTGTTTTATGTCTTTAACAAGGTGCTGATTCCTTCAAGGATGATGGGGTCTACTCCAGGTATTTTACAGCTTATTCGGAAAATGGCAGATATAGCTTAAAAGTGCGAGCTCATGGAGGAACAAATTCTGCCCGGAGAAGCTTACGGCATCCACCGAATAGAGCCGCGTACATACCAGGCTGGGTAGTAGATGGTGAGTGACTCATGGTATCAGAAGCCCAGTGAATAATATCTGTGTTTTGATATGATGGAGGCTGCAAACATTTTACAACTGAAAGCATATCTTTTCCCATTTCAAGAATGAGGTTTTCTGATAATTGCCTCAAAATTAATCCAAGTTTTGAAGCAGTGCCTCACATCTAGTAGGCACACTAAACCTGCCAGCTAGTATTTTGTTAATCTGGAGAACCTTACAACATCAACAAGAGTGTGTTGAATTTTCTACTCAGGACATAGGAAATAATCCAATATGCTATGAGCAATATTAAGTATAAGCCAGTGGGAGAATGTGTCCTTCAAGTTACCTGTGCTTCAAGGGTAAACATTTATGTGGAATGTTTTTCAATGGAAAAACAAATGTGGAGAGTGAGGTGATGCTAAGCAATTAGAATGCGTTCTTAGTGTTCCCTTGCTTGGCTCCTTATCTTGTGACTTCTAGGGGCTTTTGTTAGCAGTGGAGTAAATCAGTTTTATTCCTTAGCACTTGCCGCATGGATGGAACGACCTGGCCCAAGTGTTTGAAAGGGAACTGGCATTGATTTCCCCAGACATGTTTCTAGCTGGAGATTATTTGAGAGATAAAGTAATACTTTTTTTAAGTGCACATATTCACTGGGCATGGTGGCACAGGCCTGTGACCCCAGCACTTAGTAGGCAGAGGTGGGAGGATAAGGATTTTAAGGTTACTTGGCTACACAGAAACTTTGAGACCAGTCTAGGTCTCATGACACCTTAGTTTTTTGAAGGCATATATAGAATTACACAATGCTCTCATTCAGTGCAGTTTTCACTCTAAAGCAAGTGTAATCCAATTTTATTAGTCAGCATCCATAGCATCCTACAGCATCCCAGTAAGAACGCTGAAGGAAGAATTCTCCCACCAATTGAATGACCATGATTGCCTCACATAGTAAAAGCACAACTATATAAATGAAAAGAAAAAGAAGAAAAGACAAGTAGGATCAGGAAGGTGATTCATTAAGTTCTAAAAATACAGGTACAGAGCCAGGAGGGGTGGCACACGTATGTAATCCCAGCATTTGGGAGGCAGAGGCAGGCAAATCTCTGTGAGTTTGAGGCCACCCTGGTCTACAAAGTGAGTTCCAGGCCAGCTGGGGCTATAGGGAGACCCTGTCTCAAAAGATTAAAAAAAAAAAATACAGGTACAGTTTTGCCTGTTTTAAACTAGAGAATTATAAATGCAGGGGAAATTGAAGGGAACCCGCCGAGACCTGAAACAGCTGAGGCTACTCAGCCAGTCTTGGAGAATTTCAGCAGGACAGCACTGGGAGGTGCTTTTGTGGTATCAGAAGTTCCAGCAGGCAGGCCTGACAAGTTCCCGCCAAGTCAGATCACAGACCTTCATGCCACACTTGATGGAGATGAGATCAGCCTAACATGGACAGCACCAGGAGATGATTTTGATGTTGGAAGAGGTAAGAACAAAGTATCATGCAGTTGTCACCTAAATGAAAGACACCCATTATAACAGCAAGAGTGGATGGGCGGGTTACAGAAGAATGGCTTTTACTTGACAGTTCAGCAAAGTGGATTTTATGATCTGATATTTTTGAATTTACCAAACAGGTTTTATTTTTCATGCAAAGATAGTAGCATTTGACAAAGTTTAAAATTCAAAATTCAGCTTTAATTGAAAAATGACTAAGACTTAATATGAGCGTACTTCACACGACTCACCATTTTTTAGACTAAATGGAAAGAAATGTACTATGCTATGATTCAGCAACTAATCTACATCTAACTTTTTTTCTTAGTTCAAAAGTATGTCATAAGAATAAGTGAAAACATCACTGACCTAAGAGACCATTTTGATGGGGCTCTTCAAGTTAATACTACTTACCTGCTTCCAAATGATGCCAACTCCAAAGAGACCTTTGCCTTTAAACCAGAAAACATCTCAGAAGAAAATGCGACCCACATATTTGTTGCCATTAAAAGTGTGGACAAAAGCAATTTGACATCAAAACTGTCCAACATTGCACAAGTAGCTCTTTTCATCCCCCAGGCAGATTCTACCCAGGCAGGTTCTAGTCCTGGTGAAAACCCTCCTGATGGAAATCCTCAGTCTGGAGTTAGTATTTCTACTATTGTGCTGTCCGTGGTGGGGTCTGTTGTTCTTGTTTGTATTATTTTAAGTGCCACTATTTGTATCTTAAAGAAGAGATCTTCAACAAGACCCGTAACAGCATTTTGAGAAAACAAAAACAACTTAAGTAAAAGACACTTCTGAAATTTTAGATATACCCTGTGTGATCATAAAATCATAAAAATAACTTTAAGTGTTTCTAAAAGAATATTTTAAGTGCATCTATTCACCAAAAACTACTAATATAACTTTATATTTTATTTGCTCATTATCATAAATAGTGATGAATAAAGATCATTTTTCATATTGATCTCTTTGTGTATTATTGCTCAATGCAAAAAAAATTCTGAAATGGTATTATTTTAGATTTCATAAAGAAATCAAAAGTGTCTATTTAAATAGTCAAAAAACAAGTTTAAGGGGCTGGAGAAATGGTTCAGTGGTTAAGAGCACTGGCTGCTCTTGTAGAGGACCCAGATTCAGTTCTCAGCACCCATGTGACAGCTCACAATACCTGTAATTCCAGTTCCAGGGGATCTAATGCCTTTCTCTGGCCTCCATGAGTACCAGGCTCACATATGGTACATATACATACATGCAGGCAAACACTCATACCCATGAAATAAAATAAATAAATCTTTTTTAAAATAAAAGTATAAACGAGCAAATCTTTAATATTTAGGTCATGCTGTTACTAATATAAATTGATGGCATTATATTCACCTAAAATCTCCAAGTACACAGTATAGTGTGAATATCATGGCTACTGTAATTCATGGATATGGAAGACACTACTTTTTTACATTTATTTATTTATTTATTTTATGGGGGACTGGGGTTTTTGTGCCACAGGACATATGGAGATCAGAGGACAGTTTGTGGGAATTAGTTCTCTCCTTCCATCATGTGGGTCCTGGGGATTGAATTCATATTGTCAGGCATGGCAGCAAGTGCCTTTACTCACTGAGCCATCTTGTTGGCCCAGAAAGATATTGTCATTTAAAAAACCAGATACTGGGGGCTGGAGAGATGGCTCAGTGATTAAGAGCACTGGCTGCTCTTGCAGAGGACATGGGTTCAATTCCCAGCACCCACACATGGCAGCTAACAACCAACCATCTGTAACTCCAGTTCCAGGGAATCTGACACCCTCTTCTGACTTCCATGGCATTGTGCAACATGGGTGCACTTACACACATGCAGGCAATATATTCATACACATAAAATAAAAAAAATAATAATCAGATACCATCTGTCAATAATTTTTCTGGATTTCAGTTCAATATAAACATATATCTCTTTTCCCTTGAAAGCCTACCTACTTGTCATTTTAATTCATCTTGAGAATTATTGAAGCTGTAGTCTATTTTTTTTTCAGAGAAAAGAAGCAAGACATATTAAGACTTGTTTTAATCTATCACTCAGAGGCACAACCATATCAAAGAATGAGACCAATTAATGAGAAAAAGAAAGCAAGTTGAGAAGAACAGATTCACATTATAGGGGGTATTTACAAGTCTCTCATGAGTCCAAGCTAACAAGAATATGGTTTACTCCAAACAACAACAAATGCTGGTGAGAATGTGGGGAAAGAGGAATGATCATTCACTGTTGGTGAAATCTAAAAATAAAACTACCATGTCACCCAGCTCTATCACTCCTGGGTATGTATCCAAAGAGTCTTAAGTCCTACACAGAGACACTTGCATATCCACGTTCATTGCTGCACTATTCACAATGGCTAAGAAATAGAACCAGTCTAGACGTCCATCAACAGATGAACAGGTAAGAAAAATGTGCTACATTATATGATGGTACTTTATACAACCATAAAGAAAAATGAAGCCATGACATTTTCAGGAACATGGATGGACCTGGGAATTCTTATGCTAACCAAAGTGTCCCAGATTCAGAAAGACAAATGTCACATGCTTTCTCTCATGTGTAGATCCTACATTTTAATTTTCATATGTGTGTGTATGTATGTATGTAAATGGGGGGAAGATATAGGCCATGAAACTAGAAAGGAGACCATGAGAGAGGAAAAAAAAAATGTCTTGGGTGGGGATGGAGAAGGGGGAAGGGTAAAAAAATGCATGTGGGGCCAGTGCAGCAGCTCAGCATGTAGAGGTGTTTGCCACCAAACCCAATGGCATGACTACCTGAATTTGATCCCCAGGACATACATGGTGGAAGGAAAGAACCTTGACTCCCACAAGTTGTCCTCTGACCTGCACACATGCACACGCACGCACACACGCAAATTAATTAATTAATTAATTAAGAAAATGAATACATGTGACATAAAAGCAGAAGAGTGTGGGAAGAAGGGAACCAGCAGGAGGGTCAAGGAGATGGGGAAAGGGAGTGGAGAAGGGTCAATAAAAACAAAGTAGCTATAAAATATAATAATAATAACCCTTTACTCAGTATGCTAATTTAAAAAATAAAATAAAAATAAAATTTTAAAAAAGAATGTGGTTCTTCCAACTGGTGGTTTTATCACTTCACACAGGGAGTTTTACGTCCATAGATCAGCACCCTGAGGAACTGGAGAGGAACTAAACAATAACACCCATTCATTCACATTCTCTGTCATGTAGCCTCAATAGGAATTACCTGAATTTGCTAGGATGCTAAAATGAAAGTCATATAAACTGTGTCCATGGGTCATTTCTAACACTCTTTCAACATGGATCAGACTTTTGACCTGGTATAATTAAATTTCCCCTGATAAGCAGCTTTGACAAATGGGTCTTGTGGTTTAAATTGGAAGTGATAAAGATCAAAGGAGAAGGAAATTATGTGGAGACTCCTGATCACCAGGAAGGCTAGACTTGTTCTGGTATTCCCAGGAAAATAGCTGAGACTAGGATGTTTGGGGACAGCTCTGCTGAAGCAGAGTCTGTTGATTAGTTCTTCTGTGGGCTGGAAACTTCAGCCCATGGGGATATATAAGTCTACATGAAGAAATTTTCTAGAAAAAGTGTTAAGCACTTGGTCATTAAGAGGGGAATGAAGGCCTGAATTTCTGTGTTGGCCACAAAGATACCTTCCTCACATTCACTTGGCAAGCACTCTTACTATTGAGCTACATCCCCAGCCCATAGACCAAATTTACACAAAGTCTGACTCCAAAGACTTTAAACATTTATTAATTTTTGCATATACATTGTTAGATACTAACTGCTTCTACAAATTAAGCTTCTCAACTACATTTTACTTCTAATTTCTGTCCTCTACTATGGTGTGTTTCACCATCAAGATGAAACAATTCTGAGTACAGATTTTCTCTATTTACTCACGGTCCACTCTTTCTTTTTCAAAATTAATCCCATTAAAGTCCTTATCAACTGTGTTGCTACATTCAGCAACCATCTCTGTGCTTCTGTGTCCCACAGTCAAGACTCCCAGTGTGGAGTCAGTGGCTGCAAGGTCCCAGCACTCCTGGCTCCCCACCTGCCTCCCATGTGTATGAAGCTGGGGCAGGTTCTCTGTGCCACTGCATAGGAAAGTCCTTGCTAAGCCATGTAAGTCAGCTTTGCAGACTTCCATCGTTAAGGTGCCTTTCCTGACTCAAGTTGCATAAATCTGAACTACATCTCCCAGAAACAACAGGATTTAGTTGGAGGTTAGTCAAATGATTAATTAGCTTGAACTCTGGCACAGAAGTAGATATATGGGTTTAGGGATATGGTATAAAAAACTGTTTGGATATTGGTTTGGTTAGATTTGATCTATTATTTGTTTTGTCAGGTTTTGTGACAAAATTGTACAATTATAAAAAAAAAAACTGAATTTACCCTCTTCATCCATCCCTTATGAATTTCCAGCACAGTGTAAGAAAAGCATACCACTCTCCTGACACTCAAATCAGAGACCAAATCTTGATCTTCCAATTTCCTCATCCTTCACATTCAGTCAAAAAACAAGTCTTCCCATCACATGTCCTTAGAGGATCTCTTGTCTGCTTTTCATTATACCATCTCAGCCTGTCTCCATCATCAACTGCTGGGAAACACAGTCCCTACTTGTTCTCTCTGTATTTAGTCCAGCTTCCCCAGCTATGCCCCTCACTGTCCCCAATATACAACAGATTCCACATTGACTTGTAGATAAAATATAACTGCCTCAGCATGTCTCCATGGCAAAGAGGGTGTCTGTTTGATTCAACAGTATTTGTCAAGCACCAAGTACCCAATTATTAAATAAATGAGTCTATCATTGGGCATTGCCCCTGCCTTCTCAGCTCTTACTATACCATTCCCTCTGGTATCACAGCTGAAATCAAACACTCAATTCTGCCCAGAGAGCATGCTGTTTTTTACCTCTGTGCCTATGTTAGAAACATCATATTCTCTGCTTTTTTCTGGGTTTCTAATCAACTTCAATCTCTTCAACTGTAGAGTGAGTTCTTTGGAGGAAAAAGAATTGTACCACAGGGAATTAAATAGGAAAAGGGAAGAGCAGAGAGCACAGAGACACTCCTTACTTCCTTTCTGTCTGGACTCTGTCACTCATCGAGCTCTGTCAATTCCTAATACCTCAGTGATTCCTCAGCCTGTCTCCTTGTATAGCCCTAGCATTTCTTACCTGAACTCACCGCAAAACTCTCCTCCCGACAGAGCCAATGTGAGCCATTGCACAAGTTGTGTCCTATGAAGGTATCCAGGGACAAAGGATGGGGCCTGAAATCCAAGCCAATCCAGCTCCCAGAATCATGGTTGAACTTTCACTATTTAATCATTTCTGTGAATAGAAGTGGCATATTTTTCCAACGTACAAGTTGCTTTTCTAATTCACATGAGAAAGAGAGTACTGGCAACCTGACCTGTTTGCAACCACCATTGACTTTTTAGCCAAAATATTTCTAAAGTGAAACTCTGAATTCTGCCATTCTCCTCTGTAAAACCTTCTCACCCCGCTTTGCACTCAAAGTGAGGGCTCTGCCTGGTGAAGTAACTGCCGATGCCCATAAAATACTCCCAGCTCACATCTCTAGTCCCTGGTCTCACAATTCCTCCTGCAATGCAGAGGGCTCCCATCACCGTCCTTGGATATTTTCTGACTATATCACAGGGGATCTCACTGGAACCCAGGAGGCTTTT